TTGTACAATCACAGAAAAAAAATTAAAGTTAAAGAAAGAAGTGTGAATTAAAACTAAACCAGATCGACCGATTTGCGAATCATGCAATGTGTTGACTGGTATCTAATTAATGCGGAAGGTCATACTAACATAACTAAAAAAACACAAATCATAACATTTCCAACCAGAAAAACTTAAAATTTTACAATTAATTAAAACTAATCCTAAATACACCCATTTCCTTCTTCAAAATAGGAACAAAAAATACAAACTGCACCATAAACAAGTATTAGGCCAGAAAACAAATTGATGAAATCTACAATTGAAAATTTGAAATGTACAAACGGCCGAAATCACAGGTTTACAAAAATGTGAATTCTATTTTACAGACTGTAGAACTATTATGTACATAAAGAAACATACAAAAAAAACAAAAGTAACCTAAAATGAGCTTGGTAAAAAGAACAAAACAAACAAAATACTAAGAATTTTAAATTGAAAAATGCATCAAATTCATCTAAACATTTTTTGAGTTCTGACTCAATCGAGATTTCACTAAAATTGTCAGTATCCGGAATTGGGTGATGCGGCGGAAGTTGGAAGCTAGGTTTGAATCCGCTGGGTGAAAATGAAAGGGAGTCTGAATCGGTGTCTGACTAGCTCGTCCCGATGAGATAGACTTTTCTAAAGACCAAGTTAGAATGGTATCAGCGACTAGAATGTGTCTCGTAGGAAGGTCCACAAGCGAGGTTGGGAAATCTGAATTAAAATTGAACAATGGAGAGGCATTTGGGTCTTCATCTAATTTTGTTAGATCCGTGACTGTCCTCTTTTTCCAGAACGTTTTCGATATATCTTCCTTCACTGAAGTGTTTAGGAGGGCCATTATTTCTTTGTGATCTAGACGGTCTTGGTTGGTGTTCCACCAGGGAAGGGTCTTCTGAGGCACTGTCCTGTTGAATTGGATATCTTTCGGAGCCAGCTCCGAGCAAAACTTCCGTTAGTTCCGAGCCTTAGGGTGGTACTCGATTGTGTGGGCCCTGGGAGTGAAGTTTCGCCAGCTGTAACACTTATCTCATGATTAGGCTCTGATATTGCGTCCTGGTTAAAAAGCATGTTTTTGCTTGATACGTCATCAATTTAGTCCTCAATTATTCCGTCCCATGAAGTTAGGTTTAGATAAGAAGAAGCTCCTGAGGTGTTTTGCGGAGTCTCTTGTATCCCGACTAGTTCTGTGGTCGGCTGATGGGGTTCTTTAGCTGTGATCGACTTGGCTCTGCCCGGCTTTGGTCTCTCCCATTGGGCTTTTTTGAAGGTCACAGTTTCTTTTTTCCTGCTAAACTCGAGTGATGATTAAAATTTTGCCAACGGCTTTCTTTTGACCGGGAGCAATTTTCCTTAGTAAGCAAAGTAAGATTCACGGAAGATACAACCGTTATCGAGAGTAATCGTATGGTTTGAGAAGTCGATGATGTTTTTGGTTATCAAATTAAAATAGGGTTTCCCATTTTTCCTGTTAGCCGCCCTTCTAAAATGTTTACCTCCAGAGGCCAACTTCTTCGTAGATCTGCCGATTTTGCCGGGAATTGACAGGCCAGTCTGGGGAGTGGCCAGGTGGGTGAGGCCTGAGTCAATCAGAGCTTCCGTGTATGCGTCCATGTAGTCATCTTTTGCACCGTTGCGCAATTCCCAACTCGTTGCCCGTTGGTCCGGTAAGATACTCTACTTTATCTAAACGGTTATCAAAGGAAATCAGACTTTTCCATCTAGTGTTTTGCAGTTTTATCAAAAGTTTTCGCGAAGGGGGTCACTCTAGTGAAGATTGTTTTGTCATTCTGCTGATCCAAAAAAATTTTTGATCAAAGAATATAGAGAAGGTTTTGGTGAATTGAGAAAAATGGCTATAAAATTAGATTTTACACTATATAAAAGTCTTTCTACAAGTCAGTTAGATCTATGATGTCCCACTTCCCATTTAACAATTTTAGTCCAATGCGATCGTTTTCCACTGTCCTAAGGTCGCCCCCCAGGCCACTATGAGAAGAGTCTGTTTTAATCTAGTTTTTATCAAGTGATTGTTTTCTGTTACTTTTACATTTTCTGACTTCAAAATTTCGAAAGTTATTGAATGGCTATTATCCAATTTGTAAACTGATTACTTGCTTACTGAGTGACAAATGGGGGAGCTCAAAGTAGACAATTTCGGGATAAGTTTTGTATGCTGGTTTATGAAGCCGAAGAACAATCGCGACTCCGAGATGTCATTGGGGTTGGAAAGTTTTTGATTGCGCGGGCTTTGCCGTCCGACAGTCCTACTCCGTCTCCAGAAATTTCAAAACCTAACCATTCTATTCCATTTTGAAAGAATGGGCTTATCTGATTTATGTTCATCTAGAGAACCCTTCAAATCAATCAAAACGTCATCTAGGTAGCAATTTGGACACGGTATTTCCTTTAAAAATGAGTCTATGACTGGTCTAAATTCCTTGAGCTGCTCGCAATGCTGAAGTTACACTGTTTGCTTGTTTTTTTGCAAAGTTTCACTTGACTATACGCTTTTTTTAAGATTAAATTGCTAAACCTGCCCTGCCCAGTGAGATTTTCCGAAAATTGAATGACAACGTTGTCTATCAATTCAGTTCATGAATTTTATGCAACTGTTGTTTACTTTTTAAAACTTGATCATTTAATAATGTAGAGTCTAACGCCAAGTTCTTCGAGCCATCTTTCGTTCTCGCTATATCACTCGGACTAAGAAAAAAATTATCGTCGTTTCTCTCTATTTATACAATTTGACCTTCGGTCTCGATTCTTTTTAGCTCTGCATTTACGCATTAGAGTAGATTTACACTCTTCTTGCTTTTGCCGGAACTGATTTAAACAGAGAATAGAAATGTGTTCGCTTGTGATCGTTCGGAACTTTTCCAACTCTGGTAATAAACTCTTTGAATCTTTCGCGGAAAATTTGTTCAGATGAATCGGAAATTTGTTCAACTTACTCTCTATTAGTGGCTGCCTGACTGAACATATTAGTCTGGGGCACTTCTTCTGTTTGGTTACGATCCCTAATTAGGGTAGGTTATCGTTTCCCAATATGTTGCGTTCGTGTCATCCATTAACAAAAAAAACGAGGTCACTTCATGAAATCAACCATTGGATTGGGACCTGATGCATAAATTTCCCAGGATGTTGATCGTGTCGTCTGTGAAACCGCAATATAAACCTCTGATTATTTTTTGCACTTGGTAAAATTTCAGGTTTCGATATCTGAGTTTAGGTTCGTGTAAGACTTTTTGTTTTATAAAACTATTTTGGCTCGCCAAATCTAACGGAATACTCTTATTCACAATCATCTATCATCCCAAATCTACGTTGAAGAAATTCTTAGTTTCCAACTCACTGTCCGTTCTCGTTCCAAGTGTTTATCGATTCTTGATTATTGCTCCAGGAATTCTCCGGCAGGAGGAATGTCTAATTCTGCTTTTTTACAAAATTATTATATACAATATTTACAGATGATCGTTTCCTGTGAGATTTAGAAAGTTTGGCAAAATGTTCTTTGCTGGAGATACAATTAAGTGGCACTAGGTAAATGCAATGCCACAATTTATGCATGAATCACTTGTTTTCATGTCGAGGCTCGGTTCTTTCTATCTGGTTCTGTACATTAAAAACTTTAAAAATTGTCCCATTGGTCAATGATCACGCCAGATTCGTCAATTTCTGATTGTTAAAACTGCTTTTCACGTCGACCGTCAATAGAATAAAAAGTAATCATTTTTTTTCCTTACTCAAACTTTATAACTACTTTTTTAATCGCCGGAGTTAACTTTTTTTTTCAGCGTAACTCAGTCCCGAAACACCTTAAATTGGTTATCTGGTGTTCTTGTATTTTATTCAAAAATGAACAAAATTACTAGAATTTGAGCGATTCCAATTTCATTTATAAAGCACTACCTTAAGGCGTTTTTTTAGACTTCTTTCCAAAAAAAACATGCGTTTTCTCTGCACGCGCTCTACTCAAAAACGGCAAGTATATTAACGCAAAGACACCTAAGGTAAAATAACAAAGAATTGAAACGGCGATAATATCACTGGCTGAACTACGTATTTGAGTTAAACTAGTTTTATATCACAAAAATGTAATTTCTGATTATCAGTATTTCCGAAAATGAGTGTTTCGGTAAATCGGTTTTTTGGAGCCTGGGCCGTTTTTTCTGAACAAATTTAGATTTAAGCAAAAAACTGGTAGTTTCGGCATCACGGAAACTTTATAGGAAATTTTGATTGTTTTATTAAAAAGACTGAGTCTGCACTATCTTTAAATAAAACAAATGAAATTGCTGTTGAAAAAAAATGAAACAGATTTTGGAAACTGATTGAATTCGCATAGAAATGATTGAGCAAACAAATTGAGAAAATAAATGCTTTTTCTAGGATGTTTGTCACGTTGAAACAGTTCTAAAACTATAAGGAATCGTTCCGCCTGTCTATGAATGACGACTTCACGGGAACCAAAATATGTTATTTCTCTTTGTAGCCCCCACCGTGTATTATAGTGACCCGCTTATTACATCAGGTAAAAGAGTTAAAAAGGAAAATAGTGAAGTAGCTTCTGAACATTCGTAGCTTCTGAACATTCGTAGCTTCTGAACATTTGTAGCTTCTGAACATTCGTACCTGTACGCAGTGGTTAGTTCTCAATGAACAAATTATGGATGCACCCAGATATGAAAGTACTGATGAATGAAAACACAACATTTATTCTAAAACCAAAAAAATGAAAACTGGGGCTGGGGTGGCTATAAGGTCCTATGAGGTTTTACTACTTAGGCTGAAAAGACTAAAATGTGAAAGACCTCAAGTCGGTCCCAAATTTAGTCTCTTTTAGCCTCGGTGCTGCTTGGATTTAGCTGAGTTTTGGTAAAAAAAGATCCGTTTCCTGCTTGAGAATGGTATGAATTAGCGCCGCAATTAAAAAAATGATCTCAATCACCCTAATTCACAAGAGAAAAAAAGCGTTAAATTAATGTTTAATTCAGTTCAAGTTGTGAATTCAGTTCAAGTCCATAACCATCTTTGTATTAGTTGGTTTTTTTTTCTGATTTGCACGTCTGAAATGTATTCCAAGTCTTTTTTATTATTGTTGGGAGTTCATTCTCTGGCTGAGCTGATTGACAAAATCCCTGGCCTCTTCTGGGGTGGAAAACATTTGACTCAATTCTTCTGGATGGTTAGTCGCCAAGTTTTGAAACTCCTCGAGACTCATGTTCTCAAGATCTGAAATCAAAAAAATAACTTCACTAAAAGTCTCCAAATAGATCTAAACTTGTACGAAGTTTTAAAAAAGAGTCCTGTTATAACATTGAAATCTCAGTAATAAGAATAGTAATAAAAATGCAGTCAACTCTCATAAATTTTGGTCATAAAACCAAAAATACTTAGACCATATTTTGTTCTAGTTACTATAAGATTTTTCTATTTATTTATTCAGGCTTCACAGTCTTAACCAGTGGGGCTTTTTCCTTACTAAAACTTTTCTATTTAATTATTTATTTATCACGATCTTAACCAGTGGGACTTTTTAATGCTATCACATTTGACCCGAAACAGAGTTTTGTTTGAGTTGGTCAAAACTGGCTGCAAAAAAAATCGAAACCTTCGCCAAAATCGCCATTGAGTGCTAGCTAACATAATAGCGAATATCTTTTTTCATTAGTTGATTGAAGTTGTCATTGGGCTGCTGTATTTTTAAGGATTGATATGGGACTGGAAACCAAAGCTGTTCCTGCGTTTTTTTTGCGAGGTCGCGGAATCACCACAGCTTTCCGTATCAGATTTTGTGTAACTTGTTTGGGTTTTCTGGGATAATTTCACAATGAGTTTATCACTTAGGTTTGAAAACTAGACTTTAAGTATTGATATGAAATTTCCTGTTTTTTTGTGTTTTTCCTGGTCGGAACTCTTTTTTACTGCTATGAATCGTTGTTTAAATCATAAATGAGGCTGTTCTGTTCTCTTCTTGAAAACGAAATTATTTCTTAATTAGTATTGTGATGAAAACTACTAACCTGCCGATCGTATAGCTCTACTCGATCCATCCTGGCACCAATAACAAGCGAAGGTAATCAGAAGAACAGTCAGGGCACTTGTTCGAATCATTTTTGTCACAAAGTTACCTGAACGCAAATATATCTGATTGACTTGTTGTTACAAAATTACTGATTGTGTTTTGCGTAAAAATTTAAAGGGCCAATTGATTCCGAGGACTGAGTTTTATCTATAGAAAAACTCCCACATCTTTATTTGTTGTTTAAAATTTTGAGTAATTTTTAATTCAGTTTTCCCTTATTACCTCTTTCATTATTTAAACATCATTAAAATATAAAACGATTATTGAATTCAACAGTTGTATATCTGATATTTTTTCATATTGGGACTTGGACGTTCAAAGTTTTAAGGGTTCGTTGAAAAAAGTGTCAAAAACACCTAAACTAAAATACTTCAACTCTCTTTTCTTACTTTACCGTTTTTTCAGATATTTCAGTTTACTTATCTCAGAAGATATTGATATCGGTTGCGAGAAAATGAATTTCTTCAGTCAATTATAATAAAATAATTTAATATAAAAGCTTCTTTATACTTAGAAGCAGATGATCAAAATGAGAAGAAAATAATTGAAAGGGAGGGAGAAAAGAGTCAACGAGCAATTTATTTACTTTTTCGTTTAATTAAACCATATGTTCTTCGATTTTAATTGGTTGAACTTTTTGATAACAAACTCGTGAACAATTCACATCTGGAGTGCAACGAATCGACATCAATTCGTACTTTGTTAAAGTAAGATTGAACGACAATATTAGATGTGAAAAATTTCCTTAAATTTCAGCAAACTTTCAAACTTCGTTTAACGTTTCGACAAAAGTTTGTTCTAGGCAACAAATCTTTGATCTCAAATTTAGTTTACTGCCACGAAAATTAAAAAAATTAAGAAGGGAGGAAAAACCTGCGATCAGATATATAACTCATCTCGTATAACTGTCATCAAACTTTTATTCGGCCTGAGAAATTCTGAAGGAAATCTTGTTTTTCTGGCGAAACAAAACGTTTTTCCGAAAACGAAAGTCTTTGAAGATGAGTGCTCAGCATTTGTTAGGGCATAAAATTTTTGAAACGAACTCCTAAATATTGCTTTCAAAGTTTTAAAAACAATCAACCAAAAAAAACTGACTGTTTGGAGTGAATGATCTCTTTTAAAAATTTACACATTCTGACGATTCAGATTTAAAAAAAAAAAATTACCGTCCTTGTTCTGAATTCAAACCAATTAGGTTGTTTCTCGTAGTCTGTTTAGTTCAGAGACAAAGATAATAAAAAAAATCAATTTGAGGTCAAAATCGAGTTCTTCAACTGTGATTCATTTTGCAAAGGTAACGGAGTTTTGACAATGCAGATCGATTTTTTTGATCAAAAAGATTTTTTTAAAAGCGCTTTTTTCACCAGTTTTTAGGAAAGCCTGCGTATGACGTAGAAATGGCAAGTTGACGTAGAAATGACAACCTGGCGCAGAAGTCCATGCAGATAGGAATAGTGCGCGCTTAGTGGACCAAGTGACGCGTCACCAGCAGAAAAAAGTATTCTATAGTTTTTTGGCTAATAAGAAATCGGTAACTTTAAATTTTTGGCAACAGATCACAAACAAGTCGGCCAGTTTTCTTAACAGTGAAATAAGACAAAAATGAAGAGGAAAATTTATTCTAAAACGCGGAATTTTATTAAGTAGAACACGGTAGCGTTCATGTGCAGCACTAGGGGCAGATTAGGGGGGGTGAGGGAAACGGGACCCTACACTCAGGGATTCGAACCCCTGCCGAATCAAGAGACCTCCCTTTTGTACAATTTTGATGTAATCTTTTTTGGCTATTGGAAACTAAAAATTTTCTTAAATAGCTTTCGGCGCCAATACTTCACTATTTTTGAGAGGGAAGCGAGTGCCAAAAAAACGCACCTTTTTGTTCAAAAGCTTCCAAAATGTGCCTAAATACGCGTTTTTTGATCTGTTTTTTCAAACAATTGTCAAGGGCGCAGAAAGTTTGGCCAAAAAGATAGTCTTTTCAGTTTTTTAGGAAAAAAAGGGGAAATCAAAGTCAGTCTACCTAAGAAGAGCTCGTTTCATTAAAAAAAAACTCAATGCGCGTGAAGCAGTGATTGCGTTCAATCATATGGGAATAAAACAAACCTGACCATCGTCGCTCTGAATACAAATCAATTAGGTTTCTCATTTTTTGTTTAGTTCAGAGACAAAGATAATTAAAAAATTAACTTGAGGTCAAAATCGAGTCTTCAACTGTGATTTATTTTGCAAAGATTTTGCAAAAATTTTTGAGCCAGTTTAAGATTTCAGATCGTTTTTTAAAATCAAATTGACTTTTTGAATCTCACGAACTTTTTATGAGTGCATGACGCAGGTGTGGCAACTTAACCTGGCTCAGAAATCCATGCAGCTAGGAATGAGGCGCGCTTATTGGTCTAAGTCACGCGTCACCAGCAGAAAAAGTAATCGAAAGTTTTTCCGTCCAATTCGAAATCAGTTACCTCAAATTAAGGTAATAATTAACAAACAAGTCGGCAAGCTTATTAACTGATATAAATAAGACAAAAATGAAGAGAAAACAATTAAATTAAAAACCCTACTCTCAGGGATTCGACTCCCTGTCGACCCAAAAGGTTCCGTTTTTGTACTGTTTTGATATATCAGTTTTTGGCTGATGGAACCTAAAATTTTTCTAAAATTGCTTTGGCGCAAAAAATTTCACTATTTTTGAGAGGGAAGCGAGCGCCAAAAACACGCGATTTTTTTATTCAAAAGCTTCCAAAGTTGCCAAGAAAGGCCCTTTTTGACCTGTTTTATCAAAAAAATTGCCTGGGGTGCAGATAAATTTCAGTGCTTTACTATAGCTCGGGAAAATCATATTAGCCTACCTCAGCTCGGAAGCCTTGGGTGCCTTCATTGACTCCGCAACGATCAAAATATCTAAAAAACTTTGACTGAAAATGTCTGCAAACGTGAAATGTTGTTTGATAGTAAATGCATTTTGATCAGATTTTCTAAGCCTCTAGCAATATAGTTTCGTGGAAAATAATCGATTATAATGGCTTGGATTGGCAGGAAAATTTGCCATACAATCGATTTTCAAGACCAATCAAACCAAGAAAATTTGGATTTTTAGGGAATTTAAATCAATTTTTTTCAATATGAAAAATTCATGATAATCCCCTTTCCTCATCTCCTCCCCAGCTCATTGATTCCCCAATGTCCCCCCTCGCAGGTGGTATGTGAATAACGTGAGTTGAGATGTAACCTTGAGAGGAGGCGGTGTGTCTTGAAAGGAGCTTAACATGGAATGGGGCACAAAAATGGAATCAGTGAATTAAAGTGTGATGAAACTAGAAAAAAGAAAAAAAGTAAAACATAAAAGAAATAAGAGAAAATTTTGTCCACGACAGTTAAACCCCTCCCCCCTCCCCGCACCTGAACCAACAACCCCCAACTGAACCACCGAACATTCCCACCTGAACCACCAACATCCCCCAACCTGATCTGGTTTATGTAGGGTGTGTAGATTTGAGGGATTGCTTCTCTAGGTCCGTTCACACATTCTATCTTAATGGCACCGCAAAGTGGTCGCTTGGGTAATGAGTTCAGTGGATCGAGCGAGATTCATTAGAACACACAATCCCGAAAGGGTTGAGTTGGTAGCAACTATTCATTAATGTACTCTGTTACATGCCCCTCATTGTACTGCTTTTTGGGCCGTCATGTCCGCTCGATACAATCGATCAAATTCCAAGGGTAATTGAAATCTCATAACATAGGACCACAAACAGAAGGCTCTAGGTGGCCAGAAAAAGTCTAATCTTCTAATCAAAGGAAAGGATTCGAGGTTCATCAGCAAAACTCCATAATTATTAATTAACTCCCAGCTAACTTAACTGTATAATTAACTTTCTCTATAGAAAATCAACAAAAACACCCACACCCAGTAAATCCATATTACTACCCATTTCGACCGGCTAGACTTAAAGGTGTTACTAGGTATCACCATTCTTTTGAGGTGCTTTAACTGATCTCTCTGACTTCACAGTATTGGGTTCTCTAACTCTAAGAACTAATTGTCTTCTACCTTCGCTCTTGTTGTTCTACCTAACGGTAGGTTGTTTTTTAATCTCTATATTAATTGATCTATTTGAATTTTAGTTATAGTTAGAGTTATGTCGTGCCTATAATTTCTGTTGTTCGTTTTTGTACCTAGTTCGCAAGTTCTTAACTAAAATCTTCCTCTGACTACACTTATATTAAATTTTAGCTTCATTGTATGAATCTCTAAGTGGATCATGCAAAACTCAAACCCAATTTCACCCCTCAACCGAGTTATGTTTTAATAACCAATCTCCCAAGGTTTTTAATTAGTCATCCCATTAACATTCTGACCTCACGAGGATAGGGAAAGACCTTTTTGTGGGTGGCTAATTCATTTCAAGAATCTAAAGTTCCTGTCTCTATTCTGTTCCAGTCGCGACACTAGCTATCAGGGCAACGTAACTTGCTTTTTAGGGGACAAAAGGTGGCAGAGAGTTATCTTCGCAAACCTAAATGGATATTTTGTCCATTCATTTTATTTAGAAAACACATTCCCCTTGCCAAGTTCCCCTCATTGCAAACTTCCTCTAGGACTAATTTTCTTCAGCTTGATTTAATATCTATCCATAGCTCATTCGACAGCTGAGTTGAATCCAATGTTTGCTAATTCTACTTTGTTTAGTTCCACTACTTCCATGTTACAACGTAAGATCTATATGCTTCTGAGCTTCTTCTGCAAATAGGTGAAATCCTGCTCAAATATCGAAATGTTGGCCTTTTTCGTTCCCAAAGGGTTGGCGCTGGGGAAGACGCCATTTTCCGGTGTTTATCCTGGGGTTTCCTAAACAAGTTTGACCCTGAACGCTCAAAAACCAATTATAGATCACCAGAGGTCGCTCGGGGTCAATCTTCCATACTGGGGTTCAGTTTTTTTGAGATCCTACCTTCCAAGTTTCATCCATGACGCGTAAAAAAATTCCAAATTTTCCCATTGTTAAGGTCCTTTATATTTTTTCCCGAGACAAAACTGTTAATACCGGCTGAGGGGATTCGCTCATAGTCGCCAGAGTAGTTTCACTCAGCGGGAGTTTTTTTGGGGTCGGGTTCTAGTGTTTATTGCTGCCATAAAATCATATGCCCTCGAGCATTAGTTGCTTTAATTTCCCCATTCCGGTCTTGGGGGAGCTTTTCTCAAGTGTTGATAACTTCCGGCCTACCAGTAAGATTGGGCTCAAATTGTAATACATGATCTACCTTGACAATACGTACCATATACAAAAGTTTCAGCTCCCTGCATTCAGTGGGGCCGAGAAACGATTTTCAGATGGAAGACTGTTTACTTAGAGAATGGTTACCTAAAAATGGAGGGTTGTTTACTTAAAGCATCAGACAGTGCTGTATATCTGAAAGTTCTTATCTCCCGGTCTTCTATTTCCCCGTGCGCGGTGGACGTCTAACAGTTTTATTGACCATTCTAATGCATGGGCGTCTGTTGCAA